TGTTTTTGGGTATAAAATATTTAAGTTTTTAATTGTCTCTAGTTAATATTTTTCGTAGATTAATTGAGAAAACGGAGACATTTCTTAAATTCTTGATGTATAAAGTGGCCTGCTTGACTTGAGACAGAAATTCAATGGGAAATTCATGGATAAAAAATTAGTTAGTTTGTCTGCTGTATAATATAATATAATATGGTTTGCCAACTCATGGCAATAAATGACGAACCATAAAAAAGGAATATTAGATATAGTTTTACCTTTTAAAAAAACGAAAAGATTACCTTATATTTTTTTTAGCTCTCACTCTTTTTTCTCACTTAATAACTCATATCATAACATAGAATTACCGTTAAATCTATTTGTTTTTACTTTTTTTTTTAGTCTATTTAAAAAATAAGTCTTTTTCTTTTTTGAAAAATCCTTAATTCTAATTTTCTGCATGACATGTTTAAGGTATAAGATTAAAATATATTTAGTACATTCTACATATTTTTATTTTAATATTAGAAGATTTAAAAATCTTTTTTTATTTTTTAAAATTTTATATAATCAAAATCAGACAAATAAATTTGAACGAATGGTATAGTACTTGTATTTCAGACTATAATATATATCTTCATGATGAACATGATCCCATCCATGGAAAGTGAAGGCATCTGTCTCTAGCTATGAAGAAGTGACACGATAACTTCAATTGCATTATTGAACTCTTTTTTTTTTTACCACAACATACTGTTGACACCCAATTTTGACCTTCCCCGATATAATTAATTTCCGAATTTCTTAATTTTCAAACGATTTAAAATAATTAATTTTAGAAATTTTGAAAGAACAATAAAATATATAGTTTGCAAGTTATTTTAAATAATTTGTCACTTTTTATAATTTTAAATAATAATATGTCTTCTATATAATTTTGCATATAATTAGTATTTTTACGAATGTTCAAAATTGTCTCAAAAGGATTTTAGTTTTATTTAAATATTTGGCCATTTGGTTTAAATTAATTAATAGCTTATATTTCGAGTTAATTAGTTTATACTTAAGTTAATTATTTTATTTTGTTTAAAAAATAAGAAGCTCATAATTAATTTATATTAATTCATCTTGTTTAAGTTTTGACCAAATTCATCGATTGAATTTGATTTGGTTACGATTGAAAATTATTTAGGGATCTATTCTTTATCAATTTATTCCAACCAATTAAAAGACCAATTTTGGGCCTCTTTCCTTAAACCATTCCAGACCCATTTTGCTTAATTCAGCAACTCAATTCAATTCTCAACCCCTCTTCCTTCAATTCTCAGACCCCACTCCCTCTTATTTTCGGCCCATTTCCCTGTTATTCAATTCTCAGCCCACTATTCAACAATAATATACCAACTACGTACAATACCCTTTCACCAGCACACAACATACAACAACAATCCAACACAAACCGACCCCACCTCTACACTGTTCTTCTTCTCCCCTGCGAAAATGAGCCAGCAGCCCAGAAAATTGTACAGCAGGCATGCCTCTGTCCTCCTTTCCCTTTTCGGAATGAGTCAAAACCTCAAAGAAAAGGTGTTTAGCCGAAAGGGTGAAAGGTTTTGAATTTCAAATTTTGGCCTTTTGAATCCGATTTTTATTCCTTTCCCCCCTCAAAATCTACCCTAATTCCTCCCTATATAACATCTCTTATGTTCATTTGTAACGGGGGGAATTTTTTGGTTTTGGCTTCCATTGATATAGAGAAATAGCTTAAAGGAAAATATAAAAAAAAAACACATACGAAATAGACACACAAAATAGAGAGTCAAAGTTAAGCGAGAGTCAGTCTTCTTAAACCATATAATTTGGAGTCTAGATTTCGGGTCTCTTTCCAGTATTTTGCTCACTAAAGCTCATCGGCATTTGATTCAAAGTGGTGGAAGCTCCTTCGTGTTTAGCTCGCCCCGTCCCGTTTGCTGCTCCGAAAAAGGTAAACTCCCTCCCAGTCTTCATCCGAGTTCTGTCAATAATCTGTGTGCCTTAATCGTAGTCCAAATTTATGCCCAGTTCTCTTTGGCATCCCTTTTGATGGGTCGGCTTCATATATTCGTTAGTATTGCTATCGTCTTAACTTGTTCTTGCTCATTATATGTGCCCTGTAGCGAATCATTTTGCTTAAACTCATGATTTCGTTCTAAGTGTTTTGTTTTTGTTAGTATTTGGAAGGTCAGTATTTTCATTTGTTTGATCTGCATCACTAGTTGTTAAACTTGGAAGTGGTATGGTTGTCCCCTGTTTAGTAGAGTATTAATTTAGCATGAGATTTCCTCAAATATGGCGCCTTTATTTGCTTCATCTCGCGTCCTTGAGCGACAATATTAGTTTATAATCATTGTGGCCACCTCCGGAATTTCTATCGTATTCATATATTTGTCCTCCTGCTCGCTATTTGCAAGGTTACGAGAATCATGTTTATTCCATTGGCTTTCTGTTAGTCATCACTAATATTTGGTCTTTGATGTTTATTTTGGCTCATTTTTTGTCTAAATTAGAGGGTCCATAAACGAATTTTATCATATCCTTTAGTTGTTAGAAGAAGGATTTTAAGTGGGATATTTTATTTTCTATTTTTTTTGGTAGCGTTGAATGGTCACATTTAACAAATGGTTTGACCAACTGCTTCCTTCATTTGAGTTTGTTTCCTATTTTCTTTGTTATTATCCTAAGCATGATAATTGTTTATTTTGAATGTTTTGAGTGGAGTCTGTTATGGGTATCACTTTGTTCACATATGCATTTGTTTTGGTCAATTAAGTTAGTTGGATGATAGCTTCATTCATTTTATTTTGGTTTGATATACCAATTTATTACTTGCTCAAGTTCTTTTTCCTTGATTAACTTGTTTTCTTTTTCTTGGTATCATGTGAGCTCGATTTGAGTCCATAGCGGACTTTTCCCCCATCGCATTTCGAGAGGGATCCATAAAGGCTCAAATTCCACCTTCTTCGAGTCAGCCGGCCTTTGAAACTGACGGACAGGTTGAATGCACTTAAAAGGAGCTGGAAAATCAAGTTTCCAGATCCCGGAATGCCCAAGGAAAGGGTTGTATACTTGCTGTATACAGCAGTATACACTAGTATACATGAGGGATTTTGATACAGGTCCAAAAAAATTAGTACAGGTGATCGAAGAGCTGTATTAGGCTGCGTACATTCAGTATACAGCCCAATATACACAAAAATGGGTCGAAATACATGCCGTATACACTTGATGTATACACAAATTTTTAAGTGCAAAAAGGGAGGCGAAAATGGGCCAAAAGCCCAAGGGAATTTTCAGCAAGTCCAAGATTTGGGCCAAAGGCCCAAATTTGATATTCCTCCCTTACTCTTATTTATTTTGTTATATTTGACTAACGTTGTGATTATCTTATGATTTAATTTAATTAAACTCCCCCAAGAATGGTCATTTCATTTTATTTTCGAATTAAAGATATATATTTTATTACTTAATTTTTTATTTTAAGGTTAGTCTTATCAACACTTAAGCTATCCCCCTTTAGAAAATTTCCCTTTAGTTCATTCCCTCTTAAAATAAATAAAGTGATAAAAATAATAATGGTAATAAATAAATAAGTCAAAAATAAATTAGTTTTCTTACTAAGTCAATTTAAAAAAAAAATAAAAATAAATAAATAAATATATATATATATATATATATATATAAAATAAAAAAAATAAATATAGTTAATATAAATGAGTTCTTTTATTTAAAATTTCAAAGTTAGTCAAAAAATCACTTTTAGTCAAATCGCCGGTCAACCGCAAGTTAGCGGGCATTCCGAGGGCCTAACACCTTCTCAGAATGTACATTGAACTTCGAACCATTTTCAATTGATTTTATCTGTTTTAAATCTTTTGAAAAACTTTAAGATTTTTCTTGATTTTTACTAAAAAAAATTAAGTGGCGACTCTGTTCTTTTGGAAATTCGATTTCTCTTAAACCATAAGTTTAATCGATTTTTCAAAAACTCAGTCATTTTTCCTTTTACATATATATTTTTAAATAAAACACATACTATAATTTAATTACGCTTAAATTATCCTTAGATACTCTTGCCATGCTTTTAGGACCCTTTTTTATTATTATTATTACTATCAGTTTTGCTTTTCATATTAGAAAGTTAACCAGTCCTTTTCTCAGATAATATAATTATTTTTGCATTTTTTTCGGATCTTAAATCGTCTATAATGATTGATTTTTAATAGACCTCAATGGAAAAAAACAAAAAGAGTTTCAAATTAAAATTTGTTGTTGCAACCTGCATATTGAATTGAGACCAGAATTCAATGGAAATTTAAATTATGAAATAATAAAGAAACTTTTCAGAATTTGGAGGTCAACTGTCTAAAATGGTTTTCCAAAATTAATGTTGAAACATAAAATAAGGGGTAGGTTATTTTTTTTAAAAAAAAATAATTAAAAATTAGGAGTATGAGAGGGGGAAATAGGGGAAAGAATTATAAGGCAAGGAATCAACCTTCCAACAAGCTAAAAGTTTAAATTGTCAATCAATTGAGCTGCTAAAATTTTATGATGAACCCTTGTACTTGCATATGTTTGTATTGTGAATCATTCTACTTACCCTTTTGTCGTATGGATTCCTGAACCCATCCAAACCCAACATTTTAAATATTTTTTTTTGATGTGGCATGTGGAAAGACTCCACATGGAGCGTGTGATACACACAAGGTAAGAGCGTGAGACGCCTTAAAAAGACACTAACGGTCAGATTTTGACCTTTAAAGGCCATATCTTCTTCTTTACTTTCACTCAAAAACCATTGTTGGACAAAAATTATACGTAATATCATAACTCACCTAATGTAATATCATAACTCACTTAATGTAACTTGTAAAATCATAATTTTCTATTATTCTAGTAAAATGTCTAATTCAGAAGTTATGTGCTGTACAAATTCCTTTTACGACGATAAAAATAAAATAATGGATAGCGCCAAATGATGGTATTTATCAAATCATCCATTTTTTAGCAATCGACGTTATCCACACGTTTAGATCCTTTGAATGTGTTTACGGTGCAATTAAGCCATTAAGGTCGTCCCTTTTCGGGTCGGGTCGGATATATACCAGTTTTCCTGGTTTTGGATCGGAAAGAGGGCAGAGAGAGAAGGAGGAGCAGTAGTGGTTGTCAATGGCAGCCTTCTCCTTCTCCCTCTCCACTTCTCCTCTTCCTATACGCCATTTCAAACGCCTATCTATTTCTCCCTCACTCTCTTCTCTTCCCTTTCGTTCAACCAAAATTCCTAATAAATCTTTAACCTTAAGAACTGCTTCAATTTCTGCTTCTTCTTACGATGATTTCAGTGCCAGCAATCAGAATTCTCGATCCAAGGTTAGTTTCGATAATGAATTTGCATATCCTGATATGTTATTTTTGTTTCTCTTTTTTTTATTTTGTTGATTTGGTTTAATATGTATGTCTCTATAAACAGTTTTTCGTAGTAGTTGAGTTACTGTTGTTTTGCTGCTAAACCTAAACTAGGTTGCCTTATCGCTCTCTATACATGGAAATTAATTGCCTAATTATGCCAAGCGGAAGTTGATTTGTGGTTGTGATCATTGTTTAGCAATTCAATCAACTAATGTCACCTCCTGACCTTAAGTGAGAACTGTTTGGTTTAGAGGTGAATTTAGCACATTGTTGAACTTGGACAATATGTGTACACATATTGAAATTTTAAAGGACTATTTTAGAAGAAATTTATGTATATATGTCACTGGCGTATTTGTTGCCTTTAAATTCTGGATGCTCTCTGGTTGGTTGGGAGATGAGTTTTATCTGAATACAAAGTATTTAGGATTTAGAGTTTTATTCATTTTAAAGATGTAGTTTGATGCTTATGAGAGCTGATCCTTGGTTGATTCACGGCTGCTTATGATCTTTCATCCTGTAACTTATTATGGGGAATGCAAATGCTTGAAAATGTTGAAGATCACTAACTGAAGAGGTTTGACATTTGTCTTATTCAGCAAAGCTATGATATTTTTCTCAAAAAGTATTTTTATGTACTATCGTGTAGGCAGGCAACAGTAACAGAAATCACAGCTGGAGTTGAATTGCATTTATGTTCTTTAAGTTCATTACTTGTTGATGTACTGCAAAATGTTTGAGTTTTATTTACTGCATTAGAAAAACTAGTATTCTCATAACTTGGGTTAAAAGTTTGATTTGCTTGTTGTTTGTACTTTTTTCTATATGTTGCAAAATTGATGGTTATTCATTCACAAATAAGCAACCTTGGGAATTGTTCCATGTAGGAAATGTTAGCATAATGCTGAACTTGATTAAAGATTTCTCTTTCTTTTTCGTCTTTGTTTCTTACCAGAAATCAGTCCTCTCAAACTTGATACAAGAGATAGAGCCATTGGATGTGAGCCTTATTCAAAAAGATGTACCACCCACAACCATTGATGCAATGAAAAGAACTATATCAGGCATGTTGGGCTTGCTTCCATCAGACCAGTTTCAAGTTCTAATTGAAGCTTTGTGGGAACCAATCTCCAAGCTTTTGATCTCTTCAATGATGACTGGGTATACTTTATCTTTTAGCATGAGCACCTCTTGCCCACAACCTCACCATGCTTATGCTTAGTAGGATTTAGTTTTAGGGATCAACACAAAGATAGAGGAAAGAAGATTTGGTTAAGATTATAGCCAGTATGTCCATCTTACTTAATAGCCATTGTCTTTTGGGAGTATCATTAGCTTGATCAGCCACCTGTGCTCCTCTTTCCTTTTTCTTTATTTTCTATAGCATGGGGGTATCGTTTCTCCTATTCAAGACAATTGAAATCCTACTGAACTGCAACCATTTTTATCTGATAAGTAAATAAAAAGAAGGATCCTGTTGTGTAAAATATTAATAACGTTGAAAAGGATAGACAATGTAATACCTAAAACACTCGATGGATGCAGTTGTGTTAGATTTAAACTGCATCAATTTCTTTGTTACCTCAAACACTATATTCCTCCTCTCTTATTTTTGTGCAAATAACAACAATGAAAAATACGGAGTAGCGAGAGATGGATGAAATGAACTATTCTTACAAAATTCTAGCAAAAAGGAGCTTGAATTGCTTCTGTTGCTCATTCAACTCGATGCTTGTAGTTGACGTGTAGCATAAAATGTAATCCATTGTAATATTGCAGGTATACACTACGAAATGCTGAGTACAGGCTTTGTCTTGAAAAGAACCTTGAAATATATGATAGAAACATTGGTAGACAAAAGCTTGAAGATTCTAAAGTTGGAGATGAGACATTGCTGAATGAAAATATATCGAGCAAAAAATCAGAACATAAACAACCAACATCAGAAGGAAAGAGTGAACTTTCACTTGATATTCCAGACGTTGGTAAAATGACCCCTGAAGCTCAGCAATACATATTAGACCTACAGACTCGCTTAGCGTCTTACAAAAAGGTAGAATCAGCACTCCAGTGTATGCACCTTATATTCTTTTTTTAATCAATGAAAATAAAACTTCATGAAGACTGCACCCATCGATGCTGAAAATTACAAGCAAAAGTCAAACGGGTTAGTTCCAGTACAGAGATCTTCCACATGCTTACTAGGGAGCTTACAAAGTCAAAAAACTGATAAAAAGTTATTTACAGTATATTGTTTACTCCAGCCGAATAGACTGTATACACCTTATATTCATGGTTAAGATCCCTTTAAGTGTAGGGTTTACTTCCAGAATATCTTGTTGTTTAAATATTTTCATCTTGTCCGATCAATAAATTATCATGTCTGTTGTTGTTGTGTGTGGAAGGAACTTCATGAAGTTAAGAGGAAAAGTGCAGCTCTTCAGATGCAACAATTTGTAGGTGAGGAGAAGAATGAGTTGTTGGACTACTTAAGATCATTGCTTCCGGAGAAGGTAAATGGTTCTTTTCCTGTATAACATGTCAACTGTCCTTTTCTTACAACTCCATAAGAAGTTTATCCTACAACAATGACAACTACTACGTCTCAAGAGTCAAGCCAAGCTAGCTGATGTTTGCTGTATGAATTGCACTATCCATTTCGTTCCATTTTGACCCTTTTCATTTCAATTTTCAATAGGCTCTTTATATTTTTTGCTGACATATAAATCTTTGAATGATTAAAAAGACTACGCAAATTCTAAACATAATGTAGGTGTATCAACATGACTAAGCTAACCCTAACTAGTTGCTTATATGGATCTTTTGCATAAACATTTTATGTATCTGTAAAATATTTGACTAAGCTAATCCTAACTAGTTGCTTATATGGATCTTTTGCATAAACATTTTATGTATGTGAAAAATATTCGAGGATGGAGACAGATTCAAAATGATATAGGGAAGATGTATTCCATGGCTGCACCTTTGTTTTCCATTAATCTGCTTGGATACATTTGAGTTCTTGTTGCTTATAACCATAAAAAAAGAGAGGAAAAATAATATGGTTCTTGCTGAACTTACTGATGTGCTAGATGTGAATGAAACTGAAAGTTAAAAAAGCAATTTAAGATAGATTTTTTAATATAAGTTTATTTTTGGATGAATTTTAGGGAGAGAAAGGGCGGGATAAGGTTATGAAAAAAGCCTTAAGTTTCATAACGGAAGAGGACCTTGTTAGGTTGGACTCTCTCTGTCTCTAAAAGAGACCACAGAATTATGGACAAAGTAAAAAAATATATGTGGGGTTCAAAGTGAAATATCACCTATTCAAGTTTTCTTTTCTACGCAGAGTGAGAACTAAGACTTTTACAGCTTCACCTATATTTATAGCAAGAAAAGAAAAAAAATGCTTCTCGCCCTCCTTTTCTTTCTTATAGATGTCCAAGAAATCCCCAAGTGGCCGATGGCACTCTGTTAAACACTCGGTGGATAATGGGCCTGCCCTCTTACCCTTCTCCACTTAAATATTAGGCTTTTGTTTGTGGCAGGTTCAAATCTGTGATGTGCGCCTGACCCACACATCACGCACTGCACTTCTTCTCTCCATTCTTTGTATTGCATACTTTTATTATTGAGGGTAGGGAAATTTTTTCTTATGGTGTTAATTGATTTTACAAACATTTCAGCTTGTTTTTTCCGTCAATAGTTTTTATTAATCTCGACTTATTCTATATTTTTTCTGTCTCTTAATATGCGTTCTCTAGCTTTCCTGTAATTGTAGTTGCGTGATCTCTTGGTTGTTCACACACTTCCTTTCAGAATTGGAAGTTAGGAAACTTATATCTTCGTTATTCCTATCTTATTGTCTTCCTTTGTCTTTGCTTTGCTCACTATCCACATCAATGCAGGTTGCTGAGCTATCAGAACCAACATCCCTGGAAGTAAAGGAGACCATCCGCTCAGTAGTCCATGGACTACTTGCAACTCTATCCCCTAGAATGCATTCTAAGGCCCCCGATCTATCAGAAAATAGCTCTGCAGGAACTGTAAATATTGGAGCTGAAGATTCCATCGATCTTGTTGAGAACACCTCCATTCACTTCCAACCTCAGATATCATTGACTCGAGATTATTTGGCTCGTCTGTTGTTTTGGTGAGAACACTTTCTCAATGATCTATATGCTTAGGTTTGCAAATTTATTAGTCTTCTAGTTGTACGAACTGGGATGTTGAGAAATTTGTCTTTAATTGACTAGGCTTCTACACGAACGAGTACGGCGCTTAGTTTTTATAGCTATGTATGTTTTTTATTCTTGAAAATGAGTTGTTCCTGGACACAAATATAGCCGGTTTGCACTAACTATGTCGTATTTGGGTAAAAGTCAAAATAAAGAAGTTTAAGTTCGATCATTGACAAGGTTCAAAGAAAGGGTGGGCCATTGATAAAGAATCGATAGAAAACCACAATGCTAGCAGATGGCGGGCCTCCGCTTTTCTTTTCATTAATGAAACCCGCCAGTTATTATTATGAACTCAAATAAAAGGACAAAAAAATTGGATTTAGAAGGCTTGTTCAAAAGAACAAAATTCTTGTGCTTATGTGGATGCGTCGCTCAATTTCCCAAGACTAGAGAAGGGGATTTTCCTACAAAAGATGAAAAAATAATGTACAAGTATGAATCAAATGCTTTACTGGCTCCAACTGTATTAGGTTAGGTGCAATCTTTACCCTGTTTTCCCCATTTCTAGTCTTTCTCTTGCTGGTTTGATCAGATGTCTTCCTGTCAATCTTACGCATCTGTTACTCATCTACCGCATCTGTACTCATGCTGCCCTGATTGTTGACTGTTTATATGTGCTGCTGTGTTGGTTCATGATATCGAACTGTTAGTACTAGTTTTTCTCAATATTTTGAAAACCCCTGGGTTTTCTGGCTTTGAGCTGGATCCTGAATTTTACTACTCCTACTTGGTATTAAAGATAGGAACTTTGACTTTGTCCCTTGATAATTCATCAGGTGCATGCTGCTAGGGCACTACCTTAGAGGTCTAGAATATCGGGTGGAGCTTACTGTACTGTTGTCCTTGCCATGTGGGTTAGAGAGCGAATCGAGCAATTAGCAAGTTGACTACACTTGTTTTTAGCCAAACAAGGCCGAGAAAGTTGATGGAGCGCTTGTCTTGTTTAACTTGGTTGACTTTGTAAATAGGCGAGTTTGTTTGACTACAGTGCTGGCAGAAATATGGTTCTGCAAATGGTAAGCGATTCTGTAATTATTTGATGGAATATTCGATAGAATGGTCATCATGCTAGTCTGTCAAGTACGTCTACTCCTGTTATTTAGATTTACAAATGCTTGTCTGTCGACTCTTGATAGCATATAAAAATATGTTATTTGATATATGACTAGGTGCGAGTATTTTATGACTTTGAACTAGTGATAAAATGTTCAGGATGTACCCTTCAGAACTCATTTTATATTCAGAGAAGAACAAATACTTATTCATTACTTTTAATTATTTTTTCCCTTTTTCCCTCTCTGAAGGAGGAGTATGTTGGGCTCTAGAAACAGTTTTGTGACTTTATATTGTTATATTGGGCAAAGTTCAGTACATATGTGAAGTTAACCCCACTTAGATGCCTGGACATTCCTTCACAATTTGTTTGAATCAATTGAAATTATCCCCATGTTGCAATATATTTTGGACGTGTTAGCAGAGAATTAACTTGATATTGCAACAAATGAAAATGGTTGTTTTGTTATACAGCTGTGTTTGTACAGGCTGAAGGAGAACCCCAAGAGTGTCTTTTGTCTGAGATAACAAATAATTCATTGATTTAATCAGAACACCTTTGTGTAGAGAAATCTTATTTTGTACTAGTTGATAGGTGAGAATTGAGATGCGATATGAGATATTTTTTCACCGCATAACTGAATCTTGTTTCTGGCGTGTTTGCTTGAAGTCATTCGTCGTGCTTTCTTTATTAGAAGGTACTTCAATAAGGTAGCTTTTTGTTTTTTTTTTTTAATTAAAAAAATAATCTCAGTGGTCAGTTTGCGCAGCTCGACTAATTCCATGGAAACCTGGTTTCTGTCCACCAAGACTTTGATAAATGTGAAGAAATCACCTAGTGTTTTATTTGGTTGTAAGATTAAAGAAAGTTAAATCCTAGCTTGCAGCAGTTATGGACATATTTAGTGTAATAGGTTCTGTTGTTCTCTTATTCTTTCCAAAACTGAAATACAGCTCTAACCTGGCAGTAAGTGTTTTTGAAGAATACACAACTTTGAACTAATACATTAATAAATGTATGACCTCATGTTCCCTTTAAGAACAACATCTTGAATCAAGAATAATTGAGTAATGAGGTTGTTTTAAACGACAGTGGCAGAAAAGAACATTGATCAGTAAACAAGAAATGGGAGGAATTGAAGTCCAAAATTCATCTCAATTGTCATAGGTAATAAGAACACTTGCATACAAACATTAATAAGTCCTAAAGGAGCTCTTATTCTCTGAAAATTTTAAAAGTTTTAGATGCAGAAAGCAAAGCAGGAGAAGAAATCTGGTAACTATTATTATTATTATTATTTCTAAGGACATTTGGGCTTGCCCTTAGAGTTCTTCATGTCCCTATAACAAGGGCATTGATGCTTGTTTCCATAAGTCCCATTTGGAACGCATTTGCACTTTGCACAGCACAACTCACAGTATTTCACGCACCGATCCTTCAGTCCTGCCTTGGAGCACCGAGCCTCGCATTTCTGCGCGCAGTACACTGTACCATCCAAATACCAAACCAAATTGAGCACAACTTCTATAATTATTAACAGCATAAAAGAATTTTTACACCATGCGTATCAGATCACCTAAAAATTAACTACAGATATTAATAACTCGAAAAGTAAGCTCAAGTGAGAAATTCTCTAAATCCTAGTACATTTCATGCGCAAAACCTCGACGTATCGACAAGAGTTGTCGTCATCGTGAGACGAAAAGGACACAGACTAAATATAATTTAGTTTTTTTCTAAAAAAGAAAAAAAACACATAGCGAAAGCTTAGTGGTCTGGCCAACCGAGGTTTTTTAAATTGAAGTTGTGTTAGAGTGAATGGCAATGACATTTACCTGATTTGGCGGTTGCAGGTTGAAGAAAGGAGGATGTCAAAAGCAGAGCAAAGAGCAACATAAAAGCTACCAAAAACCTCTTCATTTTGGCTCTCAACTCAAGAAATGTTTCTTTGGAAACTAAGAATTTTAAGGCAAAGTAGAAAAGGAGCTACAGTGCATTTATAGACCCGTCGCAGTATAGTAGAGGGATTATTTTATTATTTATATTCCTCAATAACGGGTTCTCAAATAAGTAAAAAAAATGGGTTCTCATCAGTTGAGTTGTGAATATTATGAGAGTGTTCTTATCTGTTCAGAATTAATGTTTCATTTACATTACATATTTTAAGCAATATCAGCCTATTGCATTGTATAGATGTACATTGGTTTAAAAAATTATTTAGTCAAATTTCTAGGTGAAGCAATGCGGGGGGGGGGGGGGGGGGAGTTAGGGATGCAACTGAATTATACTATGTCAATAGGGTAACGATGGTTTTTTAAAGATAATATATAAACTATTGAATCTTTTTAATATAAGAAAAAGCATACTGCAGTGTTTGACAATTACTTCAAATCATGATTTTAAAAGTATACTGCTTGGCTCCACTACTGAAGCAATCGCTCCTCGTAGAAGGGGGTCTCCGTTACGCAAGCCATTGCACTATAATAGCGAATAATTCCACACCTAATTACTTCGACTCAAACCATAACAGAAAATTTCTGTCAAATTTTCATATATCTCAACACTTACTTTGATTTTAAATCTTGAATATGCATCTTCGTTAATTATGGATTATCTAAGGTTTGCTCCTTCTGAGAAATCAAATGCTATGCCTTGCACATTTTTTTAAAAATAAATTACAACTAATAACATACTCAGTTTAATATTTCTAGTAAAGCCGTGAAAGGGTACAATGTACACATATTTTACCCCTACTTTGTATTGTAGATGGAGATGTTATTTTCTGTTTGGATTTTTTTATTGTTTTTTGAAATTCAAAACAAATTGGGCACAGGCAGCAGAGGAGTCAGGAGAGTGTGCAGAGACAGCTGTGTAGCAAGGTCAGTACACGAATTTTTCTGCAAAGAGAAAACGTACGTCCAATTGCCTCATCACTTATCTTTATATCTTTCTGAAACTGGGCGTGCGGTGCCATCTTCTGATGGTGATGGCACATTATTGTATGACGTAAATCCACCTTATTCATTTTGTCTTTACGTGCAAAAAACAGCAAGGGTAGATTCATTGTTTTGTGTATTAACGATATTTGGGTGCTGAACTGGTCTCTCGAATCGCTCCCGTAGAACTGATTTTGTTTAATTTGGATCAACATCTAAGTACATACACCAATTAATGTTTGTGTTTTCGAAAGCCAAATCAAGAGAAAAGCTTCTGGATACATAATATTTATCTATGTAACGTTATATTTCTTTCTTTCTTCACTCCTCAAAATGCACCTAAATTACAAGTGCAACTAGATTGATAATTTAAACGCATCGCGAATTTTAGGACTGAAACCGCAGTCAGCAACTTAGAATGCTAGTCTTTACAATATCTGATATTGGTACAAGATGAGAGAACATAAGAGAAAAAGACACTTCAGTAGTGTTCCTAGTTGTGCACAACCAGTTTAGATGTCTCATAAATCAGCACTGTACTTAATACAAATGTTACAACATACACCAGGTTGATCAAACAGAAAAGCAGATAGTTGAAGCAAAACTAGATTCCACGGTTGCTGTCCTACTTCCATTTCTACAATACCTAGCTAGTCTATATTGTATCTACAAAGATTACTGGACATGCATAAACCATTAAGTACCTTTTTAAGTTGATGCAAAAAGATCAGCCTCCGCTACTACATAGTGGATGAGAATGCCGAGTGTACGAAAGCCCTTTGTCTTGGTCAGTTGATGCCAGCAGATTTACCTGCATCATATTCATGAAAGAACATAACGCACCCAGGGTGAAATAAAAGCTCAATGTCAAAAATCGACTTTTCAAGGTAGTAAATTGACCTTAACAATTTCTGAGTTTGAGCTTGGACGTATATAGGCTGCCAAAACACTCATGCTAAAATCCTGAAAACAACATAATATCAGTACACTTCTGCGATTTGAAGGATTGACTTGTTGCTGTATCAGCCTTCAACACTCGACCGTACTGATCTCAACCAATACAAGTGTCAAGTTAAGGTTGCATGAGAAGCTTCATGAAAGATATTTCAACTTCTAGCTTGGTCCAACTAAATATCTGGCACACTAGACCTGTTTAGGTAGAGAAGTTGATACTATGTATTGCATTCTAATAGGCTTAGATCATCAATTTGAAGGGGAAAAAGGTCCTTAAGCCACACAGATCGTTTCTTATTGGTGTTTATTTCAAATGACAGTTAAATCATGTCATTTGATATTTCCTCGTTAACCCAAATGTTTCCTTCCAAATAGATGTTTTTTTTTTTTAACTCAAAGACATCGTCTCTACTGATCATTTATGTGCAAAAAGTTACATATTTGAGTATGGTATACCAAACTTTAAATAGATGTTTTAAGATACTAAGCCTTTTGACAGTTTCATGGGGATAAAGAAGTTGAAAAACTTAAGTGCTGTATATACTAGTTTACCTCTTCTTTTTTTTCCCCTCGTGTTTATATTTTTATTTTTATTTTTACCGTGGTTTCCGGGCGTCGCTTTGCGAACCCGACTAGCTGTACCCACCGGGTCCTGCTGTTTCAAGGCGGGTCCACCACGGTTAGTTCCACGGGGCCCTGGAGACGCGGCCGGTTTGTAATGCCTCCAGTGGCCCTGCTGGGGCTCGAACCGGCGACCTGAAGGACTTTGTCCCAGGCCTTTACCAGCTGAGCTACCCCTCAGGGTTCCCCTCGTGTTTATAGATTGGAAGCAAAAGCCTCTAGATCTATAAAAATATGATTTCAACATTAAAATCTCTCCCATGCGCTCACACACGAGAACAATTTCTGGGCAGATTGAAACAATCTAATCGGACCCTCTTCACTGATGATGTAAGACCCATTAGCTAGTCGCTCACAAGCAGATCAGTGGAAAGATCTGCTCACTTCTTCAACTTGAAATTTCTAAATTTTGTCTGGTACAATCCTTGGATAATTATATACATCAACTATGAGCTACTCATTTTCCTTCCAACGAGTCTCTATTTAAACACTCATGGACTATAAGTGATGCAGCTAGGTCAGTATTATAGGTTACTAACTGCTATTAGCTATATACAGTTTTATCAAAGGCGAAAAGCGCAAAAAAGCTCTAAGGTCTGTGAGGGATTTAAGCGCAAAGCGCAAATAAAGTGTGGGTTTAATGAAAAATGTGCAAAGGGAGAAAAGAATACAAATATATATGTTTCGTCCAAGACTAATAATTATAAACA